TGCTAAAATTAATATTTAAGATTTTATTAAAAAAATAAAGTTTAAAAAAATAAACGCAGACAAATTTGCCTGTGTTATAATTTAAGGGATAATAGCTAATCTTTTGGAACATTGCTAAAAAAAATGTAAGAAATGAAGTTATTAGTATTGGTACAAAAAAATTTAAATTTTATTTGCTTCTACTAATTATGCTTTTACTCTAGCTATATAAAAATATATCCATGTTACTGTTATCTCACAATTACCATAAAGGGTCATATAAAAGATCCCTCTATATATCAGATCCCCATAAATTAGACCCAGGCGCGAATTACAGGATCTACATTAACCAAGCCTAGTTTTTTTTTTTAAATATCTAGACTACCCGCCATAAATGCAAAATATGCATACTCTTCAAAGTTTTTTTATTAATGATATAAACTCAGCTGTATACTAGACTCAGGTCTATTGTAGGTTTTAAAATTGATGGAATATAAGAGACCCGGGTCTTGTATATGACCCTTTATGCATATGAAGTAAGCAACAGAATTTGAATGGCATTTAACTTGCTATTTAATTCTTTTACATGATTTTGCGAATATGCATGTTCGCAAAATCATATGATAGTATTGAATATCAGTTTGAATGGCAGATTGAATACCATTCGAATTTTGCTATTCAAAGTATCGAAATATCTAAATTTTACCAATATAAATCATAAGTAATTCTTTAAAAAAGATACCGCATAGATATAAAAGGCACTTGTGCTTTAAAAGGCAAATTGTGAGTCAGTCTTTATCTAGTACATAAAGAAAAAATAAACTGTCATTATAATGGACCTCTCAAATATTTGATAAGTTTAGAAACAAAAAGCTTACCAAACTAAAAAAGGACCTGCATTATTGTTAAAGACCTGCAAGTGCTATTAAATAATTTTCTATTCATGACACTTTCAGAATCTTCCTTATTAGGCAATACTTAAACCATTGAGATGTGTACGTATTGCATGTGAAAGAAAACAAAATTTAATTATGGATTAGGCTTTGTTATAATCTTTTTTGCATTGTTTAAACATGTATAAAAAAACTGGTTAATTTCAAAAAAAAAAAAATTTAAAAAAAATAAAGTTAAAATGCCCAAGAAAACCACTCTCACAGATATACAAAAACGTGAACTCTGTGAATATGCTCGTGATAATAAAATGAAAAGATCACAATATGTTGATTGGATTGAGAAAAAATGGGGCATTAGAGTCGATGAAAGTACTATTTCACGTATTTTGAAAACAGGAGAAGAACGTCTTAATTCTGAAGTTATCAACTCTGATGCAAAGCGCCATAGAGCCGTAAACTATCTGGAACTTAACCTTGCCCTTAGAGAATTTGTACTAATCTACCAAAATCAAATGATTCTAAGTGATGCTCTATTAATCGAAAAGGCCAAGATACTAAATATCATATATTTTTGATGCTTAAAAGCTCTTTGGTATATTCAAGAATGTCAAACTTAAAAAACTATAGTAAAATTAAATGGCTTTTACTAAAACGTACTTATGGCATTTTACACCTATATATAAATTATCTTAAAAATTAAATAATTAATATGTGCAAGCTGTTATAAATCAAAATACTTTACACCTCCAAAAACCCTTCTTCAACTTAATCCTAATCTTAACTTTAATGTTAAAAAATTAGTGTAAAAAGTTTTATATACAAAACTTATAAAACTTAGAAAATTTAAAAAAAAATAATAAAGCTATATAATAAGTGCAAAACTATCATAGATACGTTTTATAACCAAATTAATTAAATTACTAATACCTTTTTTTTTTGATGTATTATATCCAAACTTCATTTAATTATATTCATTGACAACAACGAAGTTACTTGCTGAAGGTCTGGAAATTCCTCAAGGGGCATTGCAGTTTTTCAATAGTTGGCTCGAGAAATTTAAAGATCGAAATGGAATTCGTCAACATCATTTGGAAGGAGAAGCTGAATCTGCCGATGAAATAGCTATTAGCAATACTTTACCAATGCTCAAAGACAAATGCTCAAACTATCCTGTAGAAAGAATATATAATATAGATGAAACTGGACTTTTTTATCGGTATAATCTTTTTTTTTAATAAATAAGATAAAAGGGTAAAATATTGTAGCAAATTTGTAGTTAATCTAATAAATCTTAGGATCTATTGATCCAAATTGAATGATTTTTATATTATTCGATTTGTCTTGATAAGACGAATTGAATGGTGCAAAAATCACTTAATTTCGATTGCTAGGTTATGAGATATTGGCGTTCTGATATTAAATCAATCTTTCTTTTTAACAATCAGCATTCAAACACCAATATTTTATAATCCAGTAATCAAAACTAAGCAATTTTTGCACCATTCGATTTGTCTTATCAAGACGAATCGAATAGTATAAAAAAATCGTCTAGCTTGGATCAATAGGTTTCAACTTACACTAGTTCGCCACAATACACCCTTTTATATTATATTTTTCTATCACTAATACTTATCTTATAGATTGGAACCTGATAGAACATTGGCCACTCGGCATCTTTCTGGGCGTAAAATGAATAAAGAGCGTCTCTCAATTGCGTTATGCACGAATGCTGATGGTTCACACAAATTGGTCCCTTTTGTTATTGAAAAATATGCAAAACCGCGTTGCTTTAAAAATATAAATATTAAAAATTTAGCAGTTAAATATAGGAATAGTGCTAGGGCATAGATGATCACTAGCTTATTTTAGGATTGGCTTAAAGATTTCAATTTTTAAATGCGTATAAAACATCAAGGTGAACGCGTATTGCTTATTCTTGATAATTGTACGAGCTATAGCAAGAATGGTCTTACCTTACGATACACTGATGTTCTTTTTTTACCACCAAATGTAACATCCAAAATCTAGCCA